GTGGGATACATTCACATCAGGCTACAGTTATTAGAAGCACTTTGGGATGGACTGCTGCCAGCTCCCACTCTTTCTATTTTATATTTCAGTGCTTCTCATAAAAAGTAACTGACAGTTTATTTGAAACTGTAGAAATCTCTTTTTTCGAGCCTTAATGATGACAAAGCTAAAGACATGTTGACAGATCAGGAATTAGAAACATATTTCTAGATGTTTTGATAAGACTGAAATCATGCTGTGATTAGTGATAAGTCGATACACGAGGACATCAACGCTGAAAACACATACAACAATCAGGTTTGAGCGTCATGGAGACGCTCAAACCTGGATAATCTGTTTAAGGACAGTTCAAGATTATGTGGCCAAGCTGGCTGCCTAGTTAATTATTTGAGGGTATGATAACATGTGGGCGGTCAGTACACAAACAGGCATAACACTATTTCCTTTCCTGCCAAGAAAGTCACTGAATATGACGGATTTACAAAAGTACTTTTGGATTGACAGATGGCAAATTTGACATTTTGATTTCTCTCAAATGAGCAAATAAGACTGACTGCTGTTCAGAGAAGAAATACCATAATGGCACATTACTATGTGACTCAAACACACCAAACAATGTTTTACCACTAGCATCCCCTACTGAAGAACACCATGATGATTATTATAGTGCTAGAAAGACATCACCCAGAACCACAACCATTTGCTTTTACTCATTAATAATACGGAACATGTGGTACATAAGCTTTTGAATGTGGAAAACTCAGCAAATTAAGCCAACAGGGAGATGAGCAGCCTGACTATCTCAAATCAAAGCCAACAGATTTTGAAAACAGATCAAGAAGTGTCAAAAGATCTTGTCAGTCACATACCAGCAGCTTTGAGCTCTACATTAGATGGTGTCATCCTGACTGTCATAAATATTATATGTGGGTGTATGACTGTGTCTGTTTTGGGTTCCCATATCAAAACGCGACCATACCGATACGGCTGAGCCACAATATGCTTGGATGAAAAACAATTTCTACATATTTAAAACTTCATATTGTCTATTTATTATAGTCCACCAGAGCCATCGATATGTGTCAGTACAGTTCCTCTTGATGGTGAATTTTCAGACACATTGTCCATTTTATTGAAGATAAAAACACTTGCATTGTTGCCCACTCTCTGTCAAGTAGGCACTAATGCAACCCACATTTAACAAAAAATAACCGCCATTTACTGTTTTGTGCAACTCAACACAAGCTCCTGCGTAATAAAGGTCCATAAACAGATCTGTTCTTCACGGTTTTCATACATCAGCAACTCTTATTCCACAGCCAATCAGTCGGAAGTGATTCAGTTCCTTCGTCTCGTGGGCATGGAGGGATCACCCTCAAACAGACACCCAGCGCCATTAGAGAAAATATAGGTGGACTTGGCTTTATGTAGGAAGTGTGTAGGTCTTCTGTATACGGTATTCATTCCTTTAAATTTTGGTAGGCGTCTAGGTTACTTGCATGACTGTGAACGTGGTTTCTCTTTATAGTATTTGGAGACCAGGCTGCCTCCGCCTGTGAACACACTCCCTCCCACATGCAGTTTGTCAGTGACGTGTAGGTGGGTGTCAGTACTCCTATATGAAAACTTGTGGAATTCTGCCCAAAACGTGACGTATAACACAGATGGCGTTGTCACTTCGTCAGAAGGTAAATTCTTGCTGTTGCCCGCCGCCAACAAACCTCGACTGCCAATGATAAACTGCATCAGTCATCAGTTATTTTTCATGCCAAACTGAACTAGCAGATACACTAGGCTGTAGAAAGTGGACTGTGGAAGTATGCAGCCAGAAAATCCAAATCTGGGTAAAGGTGGTGGGTCCCAGTGGTGGGTTGGCTGGGTGGTGTTGAGACGGGACAGGCAAGAGGAAACCACCAAGTATAAGACACCTGTCAATTAACCTAACATTCCCATTTTTAAGCCTTAATATCTAAAAATTAGAACTATAATTTTCAGCCTCAACACTGTGAAAAATATTAGTGGAGTTAAATTAACTAGTTGGACAGTGCTGACTGTCATTTAGGACAGAATGTGTTTGGTTAAGTCAGGGTTAAAATCTAATGGTGATTAGAGAGCTTTATCTTAAAGGACCAGTGTGTACTTTTGTATACCCCTTACCTCACCCTCCCCTTCCAAGTGTATAGGAGAACAGACGGTGGGCACAAAACAGGTGATTATAAACTAATGAAAACATAATTATGAATATTATATTATATTATTGCCAATAGATCCTCCTAAATGTTACACACTGGACCTTTAAGAAATCTCAATCATTTGCTGTGATGGCTGCTGGTTGGTATAGTCAAATAACCAACCTACTCATCTCATTAAAATCCTACATCTCCCTATTATAAAGACATTTTCTCAAGTGATTTAAAAAGCTATGCTCAGAAGCTCTGAGAATAAATTAAAAGATAGACAGAGCATTATTATTCCTCTAAATCAGAGCGATGTTACAAGGGACTGTAACAGGATGATTTTTCCTTTCATTTTTCTCTTTTCCTGAACTTGATAATCATGACTTTACTCTGAACCCATTCTGATCAGCTTCTCAAAAGGTTCCATTGCCTGTATCACCCCAAATCACATATGTAGACAACAGCCCCTTTTATGGCTCAATCAGTGGATGTTTTATGATAATATGCAGATCAGATTCTGTGAGGATCCGACTCTAACATGGTAGTCGGAAACTATTAGTCAGCAGGCTACAAGCGCCACTTCACACCTCGAACTTCCCTCCTGTTCAGGGTCTCTTCTGCTACCAATGATGATGCATGTACACTATTTCAATGCACTTTGGGATAAAATGGGTAACATGAATTATCATTTTGTGAAACAAAAGCAAGGGTGGTTGTGAGTTAAAAGCTTTTGATCACTAAGGTCTCAATAGTCTAAAGTGTATTGATGAAAAGAGATAAATAGACAATATTTTCTAAATTTATTTGTTCCACCCCTTCAAAATTGGCAATGAAGGGGAAATGAATGTCTCTGACACAGGGAAAACACTTCAAGTAGTGAAGTGTAAAACAAAGTATTTTTCCATCTCCATTCTCCGAAATCATTAACTAAAAGTCTGCCTTGACTCACTCCGCTTCATCTATTTTCAGTCAATACTTTTTGTCCATTTAATTTTAGACAAAAACATTTACCAGCTGTCTCTAAAAGGGCACTAACACACTCTGCGATTTAACAAGCACCTATAATAGATTCCTCTTTCACAAATACAAGTACTATCCCAGCAAAGGGCCGCAGTGAAGTCAATATTCACAGTTCATTAGGCTTTTCCGACAACAACTCATCCTCTACCAACCAATTATTGGCCGGAAGTGATTAAGTCTCTCCATCTTTCCACTTGTTGGCTTAGAGACGGAAGAGATGGAAAACCCATAATCTGACACAAAAAACTTCTGACCATTTGGGAGCATCTGCAGGTGCACTATTGCTTTCTTTGTGACTTCCGAATGCAATTTGTCTTTAAAATTGTGTGGATGACGGAAAAGATTCAGTCCATTACATCTTAGATGCACATGTTTCTTGCTTGACTGTGAATGTGGTATCCCTTAGTACTTGGAGCCCAATCTGCCTCCATCTGTGAACACACTCCCTCCCACATGCAGTTTGTCAGTGACGTGTAGGCGGGTGTCAACACCCCTCTGTAAAAACTCATGTAATTTTCTCTAACCAAACGTGACATGTGCCACATATGGCGTTGCTCTCCGTCAGAAGGTACAGTCTCATCATTGCCCCACACCCAGTTTTGCGCCAAATTATATTTCGTATCACGCAGGTAGATGTTAATGTATTATGACAAATACTCACGATGCAACAGCCCAGATGAGAGGTTGTTTCATTTATCAAATGACAAACCAGGTTATGTGAATAACATAATTAACTACATATAAAACAAGATATTCTCCTATACAGAACTGAAAGGCAGAACTATTAAGGATGCAATTCAAGATATCCCTTTCATGATAATATTGAATGTGATGAATAGCTTCCTGTTTGGAGGACGCATGTGAAACACCACATACTGGCCTGACCCCAATGTCCACTCAAAGCCCAAAGTGCAAAGTGTTGGACCCCTTGGAAAAATGAGTAATAGCTGTGTGCTCAATGAAAATGTCAAGAGGTTACACAGGCTCAAAAGTATTTATGAGGATTGAGACTGCATGGTCTGTGAGTACTTAAAACATGAGTTTTGCACTTTTACTGAGTCTTTGTTATATCCACAGGTTTACTTCTCTTTAGTATTCTTGTAATGAGCACACCAAGTTTTATTCTAACCAAGGCATTGATATGCAGATAATTTAGTTATAGACATCACAGTTTCTGTTCCTTTATGACACAAATACACATGTGGAACAATTACATCTCACCATCTTAACAACAGATCAATTCTAAGAGTGAAATATTTTTTCAGTCCAGTCAGCAACAGGTCAACCAGTACTGGTCTGTGCTGAGTCAGGGACGCTGCTTGTCTGAGATACACAGCACCTATGACACATCAGATTAGCCTACATGTGCTCAAAGTACAGATTCAGATTTCTTAACTAGCATTAGCACCATTACTACAGTACACCAACAGCCCAGTGAAGCCAATCAGTACAGCAACCATCAGCAGAGCCATGATACTGATCATATATCGCCCTCTACAGGAATTCACCAGACACTACTCAGGGGTACCTCACTGGTGCTCTAAATAGATAAATTAACTGCTTTATAAAATTCATGTGACTAATGAAGAGTTATGTACTAGCAGTGGGCATTCCTTAATTAAAAGGAGTTCAGTCTAGACTGCTCTTATTTGAAAATTTGTCCTGAGATAAACTTCTGTTATGAATTGGGATATACAAATAAAATTGAGTTGAATTGAATTCCTCTGCTCAATTCAAAATAAAATTGTAGTAAAGAAATCTAAGGTAAGTAATACAAATCATTTATTTTTCTATTAGCATGTACAAAAAGTCACAATGTGAAAGAGCAGTCCCCATGTGGAAACAGTATTTTTAACAAATGCATACTGATGTGAACAAAATGAAAACTGCAAAACCTTGCATGCCACTATATCCACAGTGATTACTAAACATTGAACATGTGTAAACTTGAAGTGATCAAATCAATTTCCCCAAGTGTCCTCATAATAATGTAAGAAAATGATTAACTGTATAAGATTCTAAATCTGGGTATGACTCAAGTATAGAACTGGTTTATTGTGGTGTCTGTGTCAAGTCTGAAAGTGTGGTTGACAATGTAAATACCAGGTGAGTAAGTTGGTGACAACAGGCACAGTCCATAGATAAGAAACACCAGATCAGGGTGGTTAATAGTAAAATTTCAGAGGTCAGTTGTGACCACAGGAGTGACTCCATGAATGAGCAATGTTGGACCAAGTTCTTGACTTAACAGGTCCACGTGGTGCAGGTAGGTGCAGTAACGGTTTGTGTCTGCTGGGGGGCGGGGCAAATACAGGAAACGCACAGCAGGCTGAGGGGCACTGTGTCTGCGTATCAGATTGTTGACAGCGCAGATGTATTCATCGGTCAGCTGAGCACCATTATTGGGAAATTGTTGTATAGCATCTTCCTTTTCGGCTTCCTCTTCCTCTTGTCTCTCCCTCCCCTCCTCATTCTGTGCAAACTCTACCAGATTTCCTCTCTCCGTTCTTCCTCGTCTCTGCCAGTGCAGGGCCACCACCTGGTCCCATGCCACCATTTGCACCTGAGCTGAGATCCTTAGCTCCTTTAGCATCCCCCGAAGCTTCGTCTCCTCCTCTTCCTTTAGGCTGCAACCAGCCTCCACACACAGGAAGAGGCGGAGTCGTGCTTGGCTCCAGGCACGGCTCTCTTGAAGCACGCTGGCCAGCTGCAACAGGAACAGGGAGCAGATGTCCACATAACCGCGGCTGTCTGGTCGAAGTAGATTCAGAGGCCACACGTCAACGAACGGCCCTGACATTCTTCTGCGGCTCCCAATCTTTTTTCCTGACCCCAAGACCTCGTCCCGGTTGAACTGGTGGAAGTAACGAGCCAGAGTCACATTTTTCCCCATTTTCACAGCGTCAGCAATCACTGACACATATTCCTCTTCCTGAAGGTCTTTGGGTTCCTCAGCACCCCGCACATTGGGGAAGGAGGGAGACCGTTGCTCACAGGGGTCTATGGATGTACTCACTGCCTCTAAGCCATGGCCTGTAGACAGGAGAACTTTACCTTGGAGGTGGTCCTGAGGGGTGCAGTCATCATAGAAACCCAAGACTAGGGTGTTTGGCCTCATTCCACCTAAATGCAAACAGATTTATCAAATTTGTGTTCTGGATAAGAACTGTAAGGTTTTTAAAGTAACACATAATGATAGTTCAATGATAGAACACCAACATCACCATAGAGCAATAATGTAACCTTGCCTACCGAAGCCTGTGATGAAAAGCAGGTTCTGAACTCCGTGTCGGACAGAATTAGCCAGTGTAAGGTTGACAAAGGCCTTGATGTTTAGATGGTCCACTAGAGACAGCCAGGAGTCATAATGGTTCTGCAGGGGATCAGAGGGCAAGCCATCTGCAGAATCACACCCAAAGACACAACATGTGAAATGCGTGGGAGGAGAGAGCCATCTCAGTCCTTCAAGGGCAGCATGTGTTGGTTACCAACGTAAGCAGCTTCCTGTGCAAACGACAAAAAGCTGCAGTGTATCTGGGTGTATTCTGGTTAAAGTACGACTGATTAGAGCATACTGAGCATTATAGTTATACGGCAGAAATGTGGCTTACGCTGTAGGTGGTGTTTTATATGAAGATTTTGTTCTCCTCACTGTGAGAATCTAACATTAGAAATAATTGTAAGGGGTAAATTCAAGCTTACTTTGAAGACAAAGGCTATAACGACTAACTTTTAAAACAGCCACCATTAGTAGCCATGTGTTTAATATTAAAAACTGTATACGTATCTCTGTATATCTATACTATGTCTCCTACCTACATAATTCTTACCCAGTAAACCCAGCTTGACATGTCCCAGAACATAGAGGCCACTCTTCTTCAAGTCATTTATGAAAGTCATGAGACCTGTACAGCTGCGAGGGTTTGCCACTATCAGCAGCACCTGGGGCCTCCAGAACTTCACATGATCCTTACGGACATCCAACAACAACAGGTATTTGCGGACCTGAGTGAATAAAAATGGGGTTACAAAGGGACATGATGTAGTAATTCATGGAAACTTGCATTATATTTTTGCTTTATGTGAGAAAGATGGCTTTTTTGTGACTGTGCACCTGGTGGAAGATGAGAGCCTGGCTGATGTAGCCCCAGTTGCTGATGGGGCCGAGGTAGTGGATAAGCATCAAGAGCAGCAGCATAAAGGCTATGCTGGCAGATGCATAAATGGCATTGACCAGGAACATCATGACCAGGCATCCAAGAATGCCCAGAGCGCAGGTATGCCATGTAAAACAACGAAATGAGGGTCTAAATTAAAAAATGACAAAAGTCAGTGACAGACTATGGAAGATTACCATTTCCACCATGGCTGTGCAAATAAAATCTAAAACAGGAATCTTAAATTTACTGCAATATCTTGTACTGTACCTGAAGTTTGGTGCAGAAGCCAATTCGAGAGCTAAACAGGCCAGGTTTATAGCAGCATAGACCAACAAGAAGAAGATAGTCACAATACCAGCAATGGTGTTCAATTCACCAGCAAACAGCACCACCTAGTGGAAGGAATAAAGAACATTAAGGTTGAAGCTACAAATTTTAAACATTGATCATTCAAACATGTAATAATTCTAGCAAGGAAATGCATGCTTTGGCACACACACTATATATAAATATAAATATAAACTTTGCTTTCTAGTCAATATGCTGACCACTAAGTAGCATGGTAGTAAAATGAATGATTCACTTACTAGTGTAACAGGACAGTGCCCTGCTCTGTCTCCCTGGCAAAACCTTTCAGTGTACATGTTCAGCCAATCTGAAGTTGAGCACGATGACGGCACAAAAACTTTTGTACTGCAGTTGTGAAGGATCAGCAGATCCAAATCTGACAGTTACACATATAGATGCTCAGCTGCTAGTGTATCTGCCTCCAAGCTCTACCTTTACTTTTATCTTCACTTAAGGGTAGCGCTGCAGTTTTTTTCACATTTCTATTTACAAAAAACACGATGGCAATATACAGTACAATGTCAATGATTATGCAATTCCAACAATTGTGGACTATACGATTAAGGAAAGGTTGTTCCACTTTAACTTCCTAATTACTGAAATATACAAATTCTGTTAATTTTACACATTAGCAAGAAGGACAATGAAAACCACAAGTAAAGACAAACAATTACAGTGTAAATAGCTCTCATTTTTCATCTTCATTTGTTGTTCAATATCAATTTAACGTTGTACTACTGCACTTTACTGCTGTCCTTTTTTCTTCAGCTATCAATAAGGGGTGGGTAGCAGTCAATTTATAACGGTAAAAGATGTCCATTCGAAGAGTGGCTAAACTGTCATTTTACAGGACAAAATTTGGAACTAGGTCATTGATCTAAGGTGAGCAAATAAAACAGTAAGGGACTGAAGATGCAGGCAAGGCACCCGACTCTGTTTGAGCTTTAGAAGAACTCAAGTAGAGAATAAACAGCTTCTCATATGCAGTGTACTATCCTACCTGCACAAGTAACCAGGAGACAAGCACTGAGGCCCAGGGGTTCCCACTCCGAGATGTTTTCCTCACCAGAGCCAGGACACCACCTGTAGAGATTTAAAACATTAACAAAAGCAAAGCCTCACTGTCTGTTATTGCTCATGGTCCTAAATCAGATAAACAACTGAGTCATCCTGCACTAGTCCTTACACCAAACACACAATGAGAGGATTTTTTTTTTCCTCCTGAGAAAGTCAACACTTCAAGCCATCTGTTGTCAAACGATGCTGTCCAAATTAACATGCCTCCACTAGGAAAACGAGACATGATGAAATTAATAACAAGTGTCAGTTTCTCACATTTGAGATGGAGGCCTCTTCCAACAGATGGCTGATTATTAAAATGTTGACTCAGCTTTACAGAAGACCAGCTGGAGTTGGATATGCTTTCATATACTCTGGATCAACTATTTAGCCCTGATCATAACCTGAATAAGCCACATTAGTAATTAAATCCTGTTCACCACAGAAATGGTCAGAGGCCACATCAGCTAAAACCCAACAAACAAATAATTCGCTGCTCTTTGATATGTAATTCTTAATGTTGGGGACAACAGGCAAAACCATTTCAAAACATTGGGCAACAGGACACATGTTCAAGAACCTCACCAAACAGGTCGTCTTTGGACAGGGCATACAGGACCCGGGAGGCTCCTATTAGGTTACTCATGGCAGCAGACAGGGTGGAGGAGTAAACTCCAATTGTTACCAGGGGCGGCCATATATTGAGGTCTCGCAGGAAACTGTAGTCTTTTTGGAGAAGATGACTAAGGATAATGGATAAAACTCCAAATGAAATGAGTCAATTACTTCAGCAGAATAACAGCAGACATATGCAAATATGCATAACTTAAATGCAAATAATTTTCATTAAACCCTAAACCCTTAAATATTTACGTGACCACAGTGTTAAGAGTAATTTTTCTATGATCAGACTTTGAAGTCAGTGACAAAAAAAAGTAAAAAAAATTTCATTTTATCCATTTCTTTGTGCTAATACTATTTCAGTGTGCTTGACTGTCTGTTTGTGTGTCTGACCGGTCACAGGTCCACGCAGCCAGCAGACAAAGGAAATTGTATATGATGAAAGTTATAAAAACAGCTACAACCGTTCCTCTTGGGATGGAATAGCTGGGGTTTTTCAGGTCACCTGGAAAAGACATGACAAATGTTTCACACGTACTGCGTCTTAAATCAGGGGCTGGAGTCCCAACGGTCCACATTTCTAGACCCGTTTTAATCAGTTGTTAAAAGGCTGTACTCCAAATCTTGCTGAGAAATGCCACTTTCTTTTGCCCAAGTTTGAAGAATAAAAATAATGTAACATTTGCATTCCTCAATATCTTATAATCCATAATGTGCGAGGGGTAAATTGTTTCATGGTGCAATCAGGGTGGCATTGCGTGTCGTCCCAAATCTCTCTCTCCCCCATTTCCTATCTTCAGCTATCCCTATCAAAGTGTAAAAAGCCACACAAATATAAAATAAAAAATAAATAAAAAAAGAGTCATATGTGGCTTCAGAGCCATAAGGTTGCTTACCCCTGAGCTAGGAATTAATATGCTTTGTGTTTTGTGTTGTAGGATCCAGCCCCTGAACTGGGACAAAGCTATGGGTTCCTTCCTTCCTGAAGCGACACACAGCTAAAACAGGACTATTTATTGTTTATTGTTATTTTAACACCATCTTACCTGACATGTTGGAGCCTGCCATAATTCCAGTGCAGCCATTGAACATGACAGCAAACACTGTGGCAAAACTCATCATGGTACCAGTGGTGTAGTCTACTGTGTAACTGGCTAGAAGGAGTGACAGGAGGATTGATCAATCAGTATCACTTATGCAAGATTGGGGAACTTTTGAGATTTCTAACATTAATTATTTTTTGTTTCTTCTTCATAAATAATAAAAGTCTCTAATTAACAAATCAGAACTAAGATTACAAAGCCTATTCTTTCCATTGAGGTCTAACACTATAAATACGCTTAAGATTATAAAAGCATATAAAATGCCCAACCATGACATCAGACATGCTCAAAACTCACGCAATAGGTTGCCCTCCAGGGTGCGGAGCTGAAAGCCAGAATAATTGGCACTGTTCAGGCTGGTACTGTTTAGAACAGACCTTTCTGGCACAATCACCACAATGGGCCCCACGATGAAAAAACTGATAAAGATTGAAGCCAGGACTGTTACGACTATGATGAAGATAATAAAGGTGGCTTTGGCATAGATGTCGGCTCCCACCTGTAATGACAAACCAGGCAGCCAAGGGAGTCTTGTAAAATACCAGCCATAGATTTTTCTAATTGATTTTTGCTGTCTGAAATTCAAGAAAACACCCTGACCTTTCCTTTAGCACCGCCATCAGGCCAAAATTCACACGTATATCCACAACATCAACTTAAGTCCTTTTAAAAAATTATGTATTATGTAAGTATCTTAAATTTAAAAAAAAACAAAAAACAATAAATTCTCACCAAGCAAACAACGAAACACAGGAAGAGCAGGGCAGTGCCATAAAGCAGAGACCACCAGTATCCTGAAGGCAACACCTGATAGAGACTTGCAACAGCTGCAGCACTGTCTGAGGGACAGTAAAAAAGGGTTAGTTACTATAGCAACACTCAAATGCTTGTATTTCCCGCCACGTCCTAATGGACCTTACCTTCTGGGATGCCAAAGTTAGCCATGACAGCCTCGACCAGACCCAAAACGTAGAGAGCGCTGCCACACACATTGGCAAAGAAAAACATGATGCCAATGCTGCCGCCGAACTCTGGACCCAGGGCCCGGCTGATCATGTCTGGAGATCCAGGTTGAAGAATATCTGACTCCACATTCATAAATGTAAACCAACTAAGACTGGATTCAATATCTCACTTTATTGAAGATCAACCACTGGTGAACACAGATTTAGACCACGACCCAACCTGTGCCCATAGTGAATAAAGCAAATAACGGGGACAAATTAAGAGCAGGAAAATGTTTTGTCAATCCATTAGTCTGGCTTAAACACAGACACCCAGGAGGGGCTTTTAAGCTACAGCATAAGTCTCTCTCAGCAGTAAAGGATACAATATGCACCTCCAGCATCTAAAGCCCCATTGGTGGAGATGGCACAGACAGAAAGCACAGTCATTGTGATGATCAGGTAGGCCACCAGGAACATGACAATGGCCTCGTAGAGCCCTGCCTGACCCACAACAAATCCTGCAAGAGGAAATCTTATTCATAATGTAGTCTAATGTTTACCTCAGGCCTGCAGCAATAATTGTGTTTGCAAAGGATCATGTAGGAACATTTTTCTACTGATCTATGCCATTATTTACATTATGGACACAACAGATGGAATAAAGCAGTGCTAAAATGAGTAACTGATTAATGGATTAGCTGGTGGTTCAACAACAGAACAGAAAATTGTCAATGAAATCTATTAATTTTTTCCAATCATTTCTTATCAAAACTGTCAAACATTTGCTTCTTAATTAAACATTTTTAAAAAAGTGCTGCTTATCTTGCTGTAAACTGAATATATTTGAATTTTGGACAGTTCATTTGAACAAACCAAGTAACTATTAAAGAGGTCACTTGGACTCTGTGAGGGACATTTTTCACAATTTTGCAACAATTAACTTTAAAATAACATTAAATTGACTAATGATACGAAATAATTGACAGATTAATCTAAGAAAAAATGTTAGCCACCTTACATCCCTTTTTAAAAAAAAGCTGGACAATAATTGATTATACAATGACACATTTTAAACTGCTGTTTGTATTTCATCAGGACTCTCAGGGATGCTATATTATTGCACCCACATGTTAACATAGACCTAGACAAGTTAACTGCTAACCAGTGGTAAACTGAAGGAGTTTTTTTTTCTATTTTAATTCAATCTAATATGTTCTTTTCATGTGTATTTATTCATTTTAAGATAAACGATTTCAGCCACTTTCTACTCACCAATTCTCATAAACAAAACGACGCTAAACATAGACAGTAAGGTGGGTATGACCACGCCAAACACCACTCCGAGCTTCCGCGCTGTTTTTTCCTTGGCCCCTCTGTGTGGTTTGGACACATCTTTGGGCTCCGGGCCACTGGTGCTGGTGAGTCGGTAATGGAGGAGAGGAGTCTTTTCTGACATTGTGGTTGAGTTTGGCTGAGTTACCGTGAACGCAGCTCGCCGAGGCTTCAATCTGCGCTCGGCTAACTGAACGGCTGCCAATCACTCACCTGGGCGCCTCCCCTACACCTTCTCCACCATCTTGTTAATGGGCAAAATGACGTCGCTTCCTGTTGTTGTCTTAACCAGTTTATTCTTGTAGTTTCTGTGATCGATGTCCAGAAACTGTTTGTTGTTTATTTTAGATTTGCGCATATGTGAAGAATTTCTGTCAAAAATGTTATTGTTGAAAATATTTATGAAGATTTTTTTCTTGCTTTGGATTGGAAGAAGGATTTTTGGTCTCCTGTGAAATGGTGTACAGAAGAACGTGTGTATATGATTAAAGAATTGACAGTATATTTAAGGATTATTCTTATCATTTTACTTGCCAAATTCCACATGCATACATGTAAATTTACTTGTAAGGAAAGCGTGCTTTGTTGCCTTCATCAGGGAGTTCAAACAATATATTTATTCAGTTCAACACTCTTTAAAACAAAAAGCAATTCAAACTTTAGCAGCCTGTACTAGGCTATATAATAAAGATTTTTTTATATATATTCCTTCCCCCCTCAGCAATATCTTTTTATATATCTGTTTTATTCTCTTATATGTTTCTTATTTCTTTGTTAGTATTGTCATACATATAAACGGTCTTTATTATGAGAAATAAAGAGAAAAGAAATTCTTTATATTTACTGACAGCAGCTATCCTATAAACTAAAAAATATGATAACCTGCCTACTGAACTAACTAACCAAATAAATAAATAAATAATTCAATAAATGGTTCTATGAAATCAGTTTATTGCATTATATGAAAAAGGTTTTGTATCATAAAAAGCATTTTTATTCATATAAAGTGTAGCAAAAATGTCCTCTTAAATGCAAAATCTGGATATTTAAACACACAAATGTTGACTAAAATAGAATTCTTGAACTGAAATATAAGCCAAACATAGAAACATGCATACATCTACAGTAAGTAACTTGTTAAAAAATGTAAACAGAAATAAGATTTAGTGTAGTAAGAAAAAATCTCACACAAAATGCTCACTAAATTCATACCAGAAAGTTATAACAACATTTCCCTACATTATTCTTTAATAAGTATCTATGATTTTTTGGTTTAAATTCAGCCAATGTGCAATGACTGTTTAGCAGTATTTGTGTAATAAACAGAAAAAAATCAAGAATAAAACCCTGGCTATGAGCTTTCAGTTTCCATCCACTTTGCCTTTGTAGACCTTTGTACCACCAATTAAGGAGCAAAACTGGCCATGTGATCATGCTCAACAACCTCTGACAAGAAACAATAATTTTAATTGCACTGAAAAAGAAAAGCTTTTGGCCGATATAGGCTCGTATTCGTCCTAAAGGCCTATAACCAAATTTAAGAGTTTTATTTAGAATTATACAAAAACTGCCTTCCCATCGTACATTCATCTGTCCATCATTGCAGTCATATTGCTGTCTTTCATTTCACACTACTTCTCCAGCTGTAGTCCCTCTTAATGACCAGCACAGAAGGGTGTATTTGTACTTTTCCACTCTTAAAGAGTGTGAGTCTACCCATCACAATATACAAGCAGATGATACATTTTAAGAAAGGCAACAAGGTGAGGATAAAATCCAGGTCACTCCGGCTCCGGCTCTGGTGGATTTTCTTTCTTCTTTTATTGACCTGGGGCCGCAGTTGAACTCATCCCACCTGTTTATGAAGAACAGTGGGTCCACTGAAGTTGTTCTTGTTTCACTGTGAAGTGCATCTGTCCTCCAGGTCAACCACGAACCGCTCCAGTTTGCCTGAGACCAGTTTGTTGTAGCTCACCAGGACTGTGCTCAGACTCTGGGTGCTTCGAGGAACACAAGACAGTCCTGGACTAACCGCTGGCCCCTGCTGGTTCAAACAGGAAATAACACTGAAGGTGGATTCAAAACGAAAGTGAGAAAAGGAAATTAAATCAGAAAGAAGGGGTGACATAACACCCCAAATGGGTTTCAAAAATGGCTTCCTTCCACTCCTTGACAACAGAAATCTGCAAAATAACCTCTTGCATTCTCTCACTGGGAAAGTATTCACTGCTATCTTCTTCTTGTCCTGAGGAAGGAAGGCTTGGGGTCACACAACATAACATCATCACTCCAGAGGACCAGATATTCCAGAAAGCCAAAGATTTTTGAGAAACCAGGATATTTCCACACCAGAGGAAACCGATAATGCCTCTGAATGAGATGCAGACCAGTGAGAGAGAAGCCCATCAACACGTTTTTACTCACTTTGTGTGAACGTTCATCATCACACTGATGAATTTTACTTGGCTCTGTTTGTTGGGATGTGTTTGTGTGTGAGTGGAGAAGGCAGACTGAGCCCAGTTAGCCTTGATCTGGTTATTTGCAGGTCAAAAGGCATCCACGTAAAAATGAAAGCTCCATAGAAGCTTAGGTTGTTTCAAAGGCATTTTATATTGATGTGTTTGGGCCTCCTTAACAGTTAAATATAGTTTTTTTTAAATGGCTGTATGTATCAAAGACATCCAGAAATGTTTGCGGCCAAATTTATAGCAATCTTAACCCCGTCATTTACACTCCTTTTGACCAAAATACCTAAATCAGTCTGTACTGGGAGTGCGTACGTACTTGTTCGCATGCAGTTTATGTCAGTGTGACTGCTTCTTACACTCAGCTGAAGATGTGTGAGAATGAGCAGGTAGTTGCTGATGTTGTTCTCCAGTCTCTGAAGTAGCGAAGCGGCGCATTCTGTCTGGCTTGGGGCCCTCACACCCTTCACACCTTCAATAAGAAGCCTCAAGGATGCTACGATGTCTCCTCTCTTCTCCTGGTGCTGCAGTAACACAAACACATACAGAAAAAGAACAGCAATTAAATACATTTTTAGAGGATATTAATAAACCACTAAAACCAACAGTAAGTGAATAAAAAATCCATTGTGGTCGAGGATTCTGGACTCATACATGTGCCAACATACTGATTTGTTTTCCCAAGATGCTACATGAAGCTCGGTGCAGGGTAGCTGAAGTGGTGTGGAGAGGGCCGTCAAGCCATTACACTTACTCTGCAATGGAAGAGACAGGTGACAGAGGCCGGACAAATAGGTGGACTACAGACAGGCAGACAAGAGGATTAGATATGGCAGGAGGAAAGAGAGTCAGGGAAATGTTGAGAAAGACTTATCCTCACCAGGGCACTCTCCATCCCTGCCACAATATTCATATGCCTCCTGGCGCCTTTATTACACACAAAATCTATGGTTTTGGTCTCAGCATCCCACACCTCAGAGGCTACCATACAGAGCAGCAGGAGTCCTGGACATAAATACAGGTTTCACAAGCCAGCTTATTTAGCTTATAACGAGTACATTAAAAATCCTCATAAGTCAAACTTCTTAGGCTCACTACTCACTGCTTAACGCCATGCCCTGCTTGGCAGCTCCTGATGAATCCACATTTGTTCCATTAAGAAATGTGCCAGGTGGAAAATGCCCTGTGTCCACTGTAGAGGAGCTGTGTGTCCTTTTTGTCTTCTCACCACTTGATTTCCCACCTTCTCATTCAGTAGTGGGAAGTGCGAGTGTTATCTAGTTATCTATGCGCTCCAACTTCCCTGCTGCGCAGCATAACAAAATGTTATAGACTGAAAATGGCATTTCATTGATATTAGTGGGACTATTTGGCTTCTTGTTTGGACAGAGCTAGCATTTCCGAGCGTTCAGGGGACAGCATGCTTGCTGACTAAAAGGTTAATGATTTATTATTGTGAAAGACTACATTTACACAGCTGACATCAAATCCAGTCACTACTGCTGGAGGCTATTTACCTTTTGTCAAGGTTTGTGCTGGCCAATAGAGGTAGCAGCTTGGGTTCATAATATTCACAAAATTGATGTCAGAGGGAGCCACACACACACACCCACATACAGCATGGGTGTGTGTAAGCTGCATGTGGGTGTGTAGCCTGGTGACTTAACTGTGTGCGACATAATGTAGCTACAAGACTTGGAAATAGTGTTTTTTTTAAAGGTTTTTAGACACCCACAATCAGAAGGTTGTTAATGTAGAAACAAGCCAGCTTTTTTCATATTTATATTCACAAAAGCTTAAGTCCAAACTGTGCCAAGATTTTTATTTTGTAACTTTTTGTAATCATTTTGTACATTTTGACTAGGCTGCTCCATATAATCTCACAGGCGTGTGGTGAGGACAAGGGGAAATCACTGCCAACGTGATTAGCCATCCACGGATCATTTAATAGCTTTACTCGCTGGGTTTGTCACCCGGTAGGAGAGGTGAACAAGCGGACTTCACCCGGATACATTGCAATCATCCATCGGGTCGTAATGTCTGCGGGGCGCAGCTGGAAGACGCTCTGGCGCTCCAATTCAATTGCCATGTGGGGGGTTGAGGAGGTATAATAGCTGTCAAAGGCATGGATAAGAGAAAACATGGGAGAATGCACCATCCATCCTCATTTCAGACACACGTGGTCACCCCCTTTACCCCTGCCTGGACAGTGAATGAGCCCCTGCCCTCTCCTATTTGCGCCCAAGCGGTTTATGCGTGCCATGATTAAGGCGCATGACGTCTAATATTAGACCCCAAGAGTGTGTGTGCGTGTGTGTGTTGTCACATAAGGAGAGAGAGAGAGAGAGAGAGAGAGAGAGAGAGATGCAGAGAGAGAGAGCATGAACACTAAACACATGTTTTCTTTTTCTCCCTCCGAACCTCCTCCTATCACTGCAGACAATCTCGACCGCCGGTAATTAAGACGAATGTGCGCCGCGGCTCCGCAGATAATGATCAGAGCGCCTGGATTTCTGCACACAAGGAGAAAACTGCGGGCCATGGCACTGACGGTACCCGCATTGCATCACGGACACGACACCCGGTACCCCGCTGTCTCCCTCCCACCTCAACTGGAGCCGATGAGGAGACTGTATAGCATCTCATCATAGAGTTTCTTTACCTCACAACCCCATGCAGCCGCGCTCTCAGACGACTGGCTGTTGTCGCTCCTGGTCTCCAAAGCCAGTCAGCAGCTGCGTGCTCCGCCTTGCGCTGCTCTGGAGGCGC